TCTTCTCTCTCTCTCTCTATCATCTATCTATCTATCTATCTATCTATCTATCTATCTATCTATCTATCTATCTATCTATCTATCTATCTATCTATCTATCTATCTATCTATCTATCTATCTATCTATCGCTCTCTCTCTCTACCTATCTATGTATCTATTTATCTATCTCTTTCTCTTTCTTTCTCTCTCTCTCTCTCTCTCTCTCTCTCTCTCTCTATCTATTCACCTCTCTATCCATTGTCGGTCAATTCTGCAGGTGTTATGCATGCTGGCCTTCATTTGCTGCGCGTCGACGGAGTGGAACGCGCGGGGCAACAAGGCCGCCTACACCTACTTCAACTTCGTCACCATGAGCGCGTTCTGGGTGACGCTAATCTTCTTTTGCGTCTTCCTGCTCGGCGTCTCTGACGCAATGCCGCAGATCAAATGGCGGTTCCTAGTGAGTATACGCACCTAGGCTTCCTCCGTAGAAATGTGTGTAGGGAGACTAGCGTTAGTAGTAGAGTATCGATATGTGAGCAGTGAGTTGCGGGGTGTGTATGGGTAGTGATGTGAGAGCATATATACATCCACGCTCCGTCTTTAAAACGTGTAGTGAGGCTAGCGTCAGAGATAGATAAATGTGCAGCGAGTAGTAAGCGATGTGTGCTAGTGAGTATACACTCACCTCTTGAGCTTATATACACGGATAAAGAAACTAGATGCAAATACAATATAGATAAGTGAGGAGTAAATAGTGAGTAATATCAAGAGCTAATCGTAGCTCTCTATTATTTTCTCTGGGTAATGTAAAGCTTAGTATACGCACCCAGGCTCCGACTATATAAATGTGTAGAGAGACTAGTAGTATAAGTGAGTTGTGAACGGTGTGTCAATATATGGTCATGGTACTGTTCTTGCATATGACATCGTCTTGTGGTCTAATGGTCTTGTCTTATGGCATTGTATATGGAGTTTGGTATATACCTAGGCCTACGCTATGATTATAGAAACATATAAAACGACAAGTAGTCAAAGCCAAACTAGCCTAAACTAAACCTAACTAGTATATTAATTCTATTATTCCGATGATTATCCGGTTATTCTACGCTTTGAGTTCAGAACTAACTTTATACCTGCGCAGCGACTATATATTATTGCGGTAACGAGGAAGGAAAGGACAAGTTTAAATAGGCACATTACCACTATGGATTGCAGTAGAAATGTTTTCTATTTCAGAAATACCGAAGTGAAAGGAAACGAATTCCAGTGTTGGATTATAGAAAGAAACAAAAAACTAAAATTGAACAGGTCGATCATAAATTAGTATGTGGCACATGGCGAAAGCAGTAATCAGTGTCTGATGCCCGTGTGCCGCATATCACTGTTCCACGTCACTGTTCAATGGCGTTATTCTCTAGTGGTTACACTAACTAGTAGTAGGTCCATTATTTACGTTGTTTCTGACTCCTGTATGTCCCAATGGACGATGTAGTAATGGCAGCGGATGCAGCGTATCTAGTAGGTGTGGCGTGCATTCATCGTTTAGTTAAAAGTTACCGCGATTTTCGTGTATCGTCGATCGTGTTTCAGTTCAAATTTATCCCCTAGTTTTAGAATGTCTCAGAGTTTCCATTGTTGTTCGATCATTGTTCGCAGGATCTCATCGCGCAGGGCGTTTGCCTGTTCTTCATCATCATCGCCGCACCACTAGAGGCCGCGCGTGTAGACAGTATCGCCGGACACAAAGCCGCAGCAGTACGTATTATGTCTGGCCCATATAAATAGACTATTAATCTAAAGGGATTAGTAAAACATAAAATATATGGTATAAATAGATTGTAAACCTAAATATATTGGTAAAACCTAAAAAAGATGGTAGAAATTAATGGTAAACGCAACTAGTTTAGCGTAGTTGAAATAGATAGTAAACTTAAACAGATGAGTAAAATCTAAAACAGATGGTATAAATAGGTAGTAAACCTAAATAATTTAGTAAAACCTAAAATGGATATTAGCAATAGATAGTAAAGCATATTTAATATCTATTTCTATGATCGGGACAATTTTTGACGTCTCATGCCGGTTATAATTATTCATAATGATTCTGACAACGGGCCCCTGGTCAGTTTTATTAACGTTCCGTGACATGAAACAAGAGAGACACCATTCTTCGTTAATCCTTCGTCAAATCCTACTACGTACCTTTACCAAACGGTAGATTCGTAATACCAGCCAGGGCTGTAGCCAACTCATTACCTGGAGGAGCAAAGCCAGACGCGATTTGTGTTGTGGGCTGTTGACCGTGGGCAGTTCGCCGCTGGTGCTGCCACGTCTTGGGGGCGGGGCAACTTTACCAGTTATAGCTACGGTCCTGCATAGGTAATTTCGTTGAGATTATACAGTTGAAAATATACGGTCTAGTGAGGGAGTAGGCTATAAGGCGCTTAATCTACCAAACATCATTGAAACCTGCGATGGATTACTGGTTAGACTTGTCTGTGCGCATACCTAATACCTGCTAGAGAAAATCACATTTTGTTGGAATTATATATTTAAAAAAAGAGAAAATACTCAGGGAAGAATGTGAAACGCATTGCCCGCCTATATAATAAGAAGAAGCTATAGCCCAATCTTCTCAACATTCTGATTCCCCACAACGCTGATTACAATATGTACTATTTTCTTCGCCGCTGGTCGGCGCTAGCGCTGCGCATGAGAGGCAATGACTTGGCATTGAGGCCAAACTATCAGTGAACTAAATTCATACATGCGTAATATTATTGAAATTGTACTTAGTTAAAATGCTCAAAGCCAGGATCACTTTAATATGAACTCTGTCAATCCCGATATCCCACTTATTTATTTGTGGCAAATTATAATGTGGCAAATCTTGAAAAACGTCATATTTGTGCGCATGCCTAGTATTTGTTAATAGAAATAAACATTTTGTTAGAATTACATAATTAAAAATGTGTACGTAATGTGAAGACACCAATAAGCTTGAAAATTACCAGAACTAAAATCAAAAGGACATGTAAAAAATGTTCGAGTTGTGCATGTGTGTGCGTGCGTGCGCGCGCGCGTGTGTGGTGTATGTTTATGTCTGTGCATGTGTGCATGTATGTGCGGACGCGTGTAAGCGTGCGTGTATGTGCGCGCGAGATATCCGCGTATATGTCTACATAATGGTTTGTTTGTAGCAGTTGTGAGATCGATGTTTACATTTATGAGGGATATTGACAGACGATGAAGATGAAAGCGTGTTACTGGTTTCAATAATCTTTTATTCAGCGACCTCCCACAATGCCCTGCGCGGCACAATGCGTTGTAGACGTTGATGATATCACGGCGTTGAGACGTGTGCTTCTATCTCGTGCCTGCAGGTGTTCGGATTCTTTGCTATGGCCGCCTACTTTGTCGGCGCGTTCTCCGCGTTTATGAATTGGAGAAACGCTGGAGACATGGCGCCACCAGCTGCCAGTGGGATAGTCGAGCATGGAAACAACAAGAGCGCTCCCCAGTACAACGCAGGCAGCTTTGGAACATACTAACGTGTCTGTGGAATCTGCCCACGTACTGAACCTCTACTAGCGGTCACGTACTAAGTTTGTTACAGGGGATTTGCACTGACCCTGGCATAATGCCACCTTTTGACTCTGTGTTACAAGATCACGCTATTCTCTAAATCGCAGATCTAGAATATATCTAGAATCGCAATCTATTCTCTAATCGTACACAGCTATTCCCTAATCGCGCTAAGACACTTGATTTCCTTATGAATTCGTACTTGATACATTGTGATATTCAATACTCTTGTATATTTTACGTAACCGTGTAATATATACTACAATAAATAATTTTAGTGCGTGCATGTGCATGTGCAGTTTTAGTAGCAGTAGTACATAAGATATCACCATGTAGCGAGATTTTGACGAGAGAAGGCACATACTACGGGGCGCCATACAGGACAGGCATTTTTGTACCTATAAACTTGACAAAAATGAGTTTTGTAAACACAAAACTCAATTCTGTCAATCCTGTTCCACAAAACTCAATTTTGTGAACACAATAACTCAATTCTGTCAATACCTGTGTCAATCAACTTGGAACAAAAAACTCAATTCTTGTCAAACGGGTGCACAAAAACTCCAATTGTAACCCAACTCATTCGTGTGGAACCAGTTTCCACAAAACTCAATTTTGTAAACACACAAAACTCAATTCTGTCGAACCGGTTCCACAAAACTTCGCCAAAATTTTTGTAAACACAAAACTCAATTCTGATCGAACCGCGTTTCCACAAAAACTCGATTGTTGTTGCCCAAATATGCGCACACGCATGCTAATGAAGGGCTACCATTGGTTTTCTTCTGACCATCGTAGCCTTCTTACATGCGTGTGCCACTATTTGGCCAACAAAATCGAGCCCCTGTCCTGGCCACCCCCTTCGCGTACGGGGGCGCCATGCAGGACAGGGCCTCAATTCGATTTTTGTTGCCAAATATGGCCACACGCAATGTAAGAGGGCTACCATTGGTTCTGTCTGACATATGGTAGCCTTCTTACATGCCTGTGTTGCATATTTCGGCAACAAAATCAGCCCTGTCCTGCAGGCGTACGCGGCCACGCAGGTACGCGTGATTTTTTTTCCTAGGTCAATCATAGAACATAGCGTGTAATGAGCGCTGCTATTGGTTGAGCTTGTTTTTCCCGAAATATACATAGCAACATGCAAACTTTAGTATTGTACCAATGCTTCGATAGCCTACCCGTCGTATAACGCTGCGTCAATCTGCCGCAAGTATGAAGGTCGGAGGTCGGAAATCCATCGTTTCTAACTGTATCTTTTCGTTTTCTGTATTTTGTCATCTTTATCTGTTTACACATTCTTTTTCCCACAATTAACGCAATTTTACATTATTTTTTACAATCTTTTAATAACCTAGCAATTAATTTTTACAACAATTAAAAATTAAATTTTTTCTATAGTTGTTTAATATAGGGTTTGGTTAGAGTTAGGCATTAGGAGTTAGGGTTCTAGGTTTAGGTGTTAGGTGTTAGGGTTAGGGTTTAGGGTTAGTGTGAGTCACAATTATTGCAGTGAAGCATATAAACAGGAGTTAGAGGACCGGTGATTTATCAACCAATGGCCAGCCGCTCGTTAGAGCCCTATGCTTCTTGATTGACCATCGAGGAAAAAAATACACGCATGCGGACCAAAACTCGATGCCAGTGCCCCTTCTCCACACTCAGGATAATACCGACTGCCAACAATGCTAGCACTATTTTTAAAGTGGGCGGAGCTCTGTTGGAATCATGCGAATGGCAAATCCAAACGCGCTGGCGAAGTCGCCGTCGAGACAAACATTCGGAATTTCTATGATTTGTCGTTTGTTCGTTGGGCAAATTTTAGATGTTTTTAAGACTGAATATCGGCCAAAAATGTATCAAAGACATGTTCGAAGAATTAGTATATGGCAATCATTCGCAATAAAATTCATGATTAATCTCGTGAACTTAGTTTAGATTAAACAGCGTGTAATGATTTGAAAGTAGTAAATGTGGCGCACTATTTGTATCCCTATTTTCAAATTCTTCATTAAAGTAATGGTTGGGATTTTTAATATCTTTGCCAGCTTTTATAAGTCACACACGTATTACAAGGACAGGAGTAACGGGTCGCTGTAGAACGGGGGTCGCTGTAGTTAGTAAAAAACGCGTAAGAATTCTTACGTGAAATCAGCTTTGTGGCAGTGGTATAGAATTGAGCCAGGAGTCCCTGAGGAGCGCTCACTGCTGTCGTTGCGAGTTTGATGCAGGGAAGGGCTCTAGATTCAATTTTGTTGACACCCACAATATTGGCGACACGCATGTAAAGAAGGGCTACCTCTGGTCAGAAGCAACCACTGGTAGCTCCTTTTTACATTGCTGTGTGCCATATCTTGGGCAACAAAATCGAGTTTTGTTGAACCGGCATTACAGAATTGAGTTTTGGTTTACGAAAATGATTGTTTTGTGGGACAGGATTGGTTTTGTGTACACAATTTGAAGCTCTTTGTGGAACAGGTTACAGGAATTGTGTTTATGTGTTTACAAATTGATGTTTTTGTGGGACAGGATTGACAGAATTTGAGTTTAGTGTTGTTTACAAATTTGACTTTTGTTGAGACCGCGAATTTTGAGTTGTGTGCACAAAAGTGAGTTTTGTGAGACAGAATTGAGTTTTGTTAGACAAAATTGAGTTTTGTCCCACATGGCGCCCCGTACATACCGGGGCTAGACAATACGAAATGAATATATAAAAAATCCGCGCACATTATCTAATCCTGCCAGTGGTACGTAGAGAACAAGCACAGGCAATAGCGGAAATCACGATGGCTGGGGCACAAATGACGCTGCCCGTATTTAGATGGGCAGGACATGTATAGCTACTAGCAGACAAATTAACGTAATGAATTATATATTAGTTCGCAAGAACGATTAAATGTTTCATTTCCATAAAACATACATAACATTAAAATACATGATTTTAGGTCTTTGGCCTTTATTATTGACTGTGGATCTCTCTCACACGCTCGCGCGCAAGCACGCACACATACACACGCACGCGCGCGCGAATAAATAAAATGCACATAGAATTAAATGAAGGCATAGATTTAATGTAAAATAGAAATTTAGAAATACGGTTCCATATATTGTAAATGCGAGCTTTAGAAGCAGTGTCAGGCTACAAAAATTTGTTGTTACAGGTGATTATATATATAAAAGTAAATTGGGTTTTTGATAAATCCATTTATTTAATCTGTTAGCAACGGAATCGACAACCGGTGTTTGAAGCTGAATAAAGTTGCTTATCCGTCTAACCGGCTGGCAAGAGGCAGGTTTTTAAAGCAAGATGACATCACATTTTTAGCTTTCAATGACTGTTTCATGTGCCTGTGGTTGCGACACAACCACAGACACTATTTTCAAGAGTACGTGAAGAGAGATCAGACTGTATAAACATAAACAGAGAATCTCTATTCATGTACCCCTGATATAGCAGTTGCTAGCCCCAGAGAAAAATGTATGAATACATTACATGGTCAATGGCGGTCACCTTCCCAGAACACACCACGAACAGGCACTTGGAGCGTTTCAATAAAATATAATGCTAAATAAATACGAAATCTATTTACTACCAAAGTCTTAATGTTTCTCTACTCTCTTTCACCTATTATTGCCGACAAGCTGTAAGCGGAGGAGAGGCGGGCACTTTTTAACCCTGCCTCAAGCTTTAATAGATATATTTCTTACGTTTTTTTTTCAAAATGCAATGGCCCCTAGTAGTCTCTTGCACAAATATTCCATGAGTTCATTAAGATCCGAACTCGACTTAGAAAAAGCAACAGCTATAGTGGTTCGCTAGTCCACTTATGTCGTGTGCAATATGGCATGAACACCACTCTCCTCACAGGTAGGCAAACACCGTAAGCTATGAGTATGAGTAACATAAGCAGCAGATACTGGAAACTGGGAACACAAATCAACGCGCCCCCTGAAATCGCATAGTATAGCATTGATTAGATGAATTGCTGTCACCGGTGGCACTGTAGCCTTGGTTTGCAGTATTACGTTTCTGTTGACATGATTTAAAACTAGCTTGGTCGGCATGTCAGAGTCAGGCACAGCCGTGTATTTGCTGGGGGCATGGCTGCCCCAAACGATTGCAGCAGGGGACATCGCCTACAAGGCAGTCATGCTGGCGCTGTGTTCCCATAGCCTGCGAGCTAGATCGTCATCTCTGGCCATAGCCGATGCGTCCTTCACAGCACAGTCACTGTGGGTGAGAAAGAGGGAGAGAGAGAGAGCGTAAGTGTGTGTGTCTGAGAGAGTGTGAGTGAGTGAGTGAGTGAGTGAGTGAGTGAGTGAGTGAGTGAGTGAGTGAGTGAGTGAGTGAGTGAGTGAATGAGTGAGTGAGTGAGTGAGTGAATGAGTGAGTGAGTGAGTGAGTGAATGAGTGAGTGAGTGAGTGAGTGAATGAGTGAGTGAGTGAGTGAGTGAGTGAGCGCGCGCGCATGCGTAAGTGAGCGAGTGAGTGAGTGAGTGAATGAGAGTGAGTGAGTGAATGAGAGTGAGTGAGTGAGTGAGTGAGTGATTGAGTGAGTGAGTGAGTGAATGAGTGAGTGAGTAAGTGAGCGAGCGAGTGTGAATGAGTGAGTGAGTGAGTGAGTGAGTGAGTGAGTGAGTGAGT